ACCAAAACACCTTCTCTTGGAGCACCAAAAAACATTCTCTTGCAGCACCAAAACACCTTCTCTTGTGGTACCAAAACACCTTCTCTTGTGGTACCAAAACACCTTCTCTTGCAGCACCAAAACACCTTCTCTTGTGGTACCAAAACATCTTCTCTTGCAGCACCAAAACACCTTCTCTTGGAGCACCAAAACACCTTCTCTTGCAGCACCAAAATACCTTAGTCCTTTGTCAGTCAGCGTGTTTGTCACGTTCAAGTATTGATTAAACTTGTAACAAGACAATATGTTAGAATTATTACAATATCAACTCTACATTCTTAATCTAGTCCCTTAGGGAAATTGAAAAATTATAAAAGCATATAATATCAGTATCTCAACCATAGTATATTCGTCATATCTATTGCGACAACGCGTTTTGCTCAGTCAGGCTGCCTGGGATACATCGAACAAATACAGTTGTGGTCGAAACGTTATTTATATAAGCCATTTGTTACAAAAACAACAATTGTTATGGTGTGAAGGCCTTTTATAAACTTCTCATAATACACGAATAATTAAGTGTAATCACGCTTCGCCAACTTGTAGAAGGCTTACAGGCAGATGTTTACAGATTTTTTTATATTCCCGTTAATTAATTTGAAATAGTCACGGGAAAGTTTAAAATAGTAGTAAACTGCTGGGGAAATTACTTTTGGACACCCCACCCCAGTATAATTACTTTCTGACAACCCCCTTCCTCATCTTTTTAACAAATAAAGATAATTTAAACCTAAAACCTTAAAGTAATATTGGGTTGAAACTGAAAGAAAAAGAAAGAAACATCTTGCAAGAGCTTTGGATTTCTTCTGCAGTCTGTTTTGACACCAGTCTTAAATTATTTCAGAGCACTGTAGATTATTGTAAACTTTTTTTTGTATGTGGTTTAAAGTTAAACGTTTATTTGTTTGGAATGTTGTGCAAAGCTACACGAGGGATATCTGCGCTGACCGTCCCTAATTTAGCAGTGAAAGACTAAAAGGATTGTTTTTTGTTTGTTTGTTTTTGAATTTCGCGCAAAGCTACACGAGGGCTATCTGCGCTAGCCGTCCCTAATTTAGCAGTGTAAGACTAAAGGGAAGGCAGCTAGTCAATACCACCCACCGCCAACTTTTGGGCTACTCTTTTACCAACGAATAGTGGGATTGACCATTAAATTATAACGCCCCCAATTCTGAAAGTGCGAGCATGTTTGGCGGGACGGGGATTCAAACCCGCGACCCACAGATTGCGAGTCGAGCGCCCCCTAACCACTAGGCCCAGAATGAATGGAAGGGGTTATTCGAAGAAAGGTGATATTTATTTATAAAACAAGCAATCAGTAGTGAATATTTGCTCGATAATTTCAAACGAATAGTGAAATTAACCGTCACACTATAACGCTCCCGCAATTGAAAGGGCGAACATGTTTGGTGTAACGGGGATTCGAACCCGCGACTCTCAGATTGCGAGGACATAGAGTTAAATGAGACTTGGTTAATGTAAATCCATGCTGACATTATACAATTTAAGAACGAATATTTTAATGCGGTTTTTTTTATGTCTACAAAATATTATTTTTTTGTCTGGAAACTGTTTAAAACTATAATGAAAGAGAATAGAAATTTTCAGAACTTTCCCTCAATATTTCCCTCAATATATTAAATACAAATGTGAATATTATATTACTCAGTTTATAGAAATACAAATGAGATTGATATATTAAAGTGGAACGTACAGTTAACATAATTATATTTTACATAACTCTTCACAAGCGTAAGGTATCGTAATAGTTTGTTCCCCTCCCACCCCCCAGTAACGTTATTGGTGCGCATGGCAATTAAAAGCCTACGTCACCAGAGTATTAGCCAATCAGATAAATAGAAGAGTGGACTCACCCCGTGACACATAAAAACTTCGACATTGATAAGTATATAAAAAAAGAGAGAAGAGTCATAGTGAGACACTTGTGTTTTCACAACACGAGGTACTAGTCTCTCCGAAACGTTTTAATCAACTTTTGAAGAGAAGAAAGGAGGTGGGACTAACAGGTTGGAGAATATTTAATTTTGGTTTGCGACATCTGTTGACATAAGTTGAAATTAAGTTGTATTGATAAAAATCAACGCTTATTTCCATTTCAAATTTGCTGGCAATTCTTAGAGCACGTTTATATTGTTGAAATTGTGAATATCGAATTTTATTTATTTTTCTTTAACCAATCAGGCTTGAAAAAAAAAAGGTCCTTAATGAAATATTTCCGGACAGAAATCTAGAATTATATTTAACCTAAGAAGATTTCGTAACTTTCTTATAAATCGTAATATTCGATGTTCAATCCCTGCGGTGATAACAACGCCGATAGTACATTTCTCATAGTTCCGGTGGGGAACAACGGTAAGCTAAGGACTTACAACGCTAAAATCTGGGGCACGATTCCGCGCGGTGGGCATAGCGGATAGCCCAATGTGTCTTTGCTCTGAAAGAAACAGACATCTACATTTTTGTCGTTTTAACGTTAAAAAAGTGAGCAATACATATATATACATATATAACCCAATTAACACCCATTTCCTAAAACTAAATTATATTACTTGGCTAGCTGTATCCTTCTGTTTAGCCCCCCCCCCAGCGGCACAGCGGTATGTCTGCGGACTTATAACGCTAGAATCCGGGTTTCGATACCCGTGGTTGGCAGAGCACAGATAGCCCATTATGTAGCTTTGTGCTTAACTACAAACAAACAAAGCATTAATGTGAGTGTTGACAAGAAACTGAAAACTCTTAAATAGACTTGTTTTTTGTTTGTTTATAAGCACAAATCTGCACAATGGGCTATCCGTGCTATTCCCACCACGGCTATCGAAACCCTGTTTCTAGTTTTATAAGCTTTCATACTTATCATTGAGCAACTGGGAGATCCTAGTTAGTTTATTGGTGAAATAATAATATTAACCCATACATTTATGTGTGAAATGTTGGATATAGGAAAGCCTTAGCATGATATTCAGTAGTAATATATGGGTGATATTACATCTCAATAAGACTTATCAGACTTATCACGAACCACAGTAATGGTTCATAATAGGGATCGAAAGAAATTGCACAAAATGCAAATACAATGCTAGGTAAAAAAGAAAAAGCCCCTTAAACAGAAAAGATTCAGTTCAAACAACACTTTGAAACCTTTACTATTGACTGCTAAGCCTGTATTCATATAAAAATGCACAAAAAAGCACGCATGTTAGACTTACGAGGAAAAGAAAATCCGCTCAAAACGGTCAGTTTGTAATTCTTCTTTTCATTATTATTTTCTTGCCAGCCTACAACAAAAACGGCATGAGATCCTAGAGGTATTGAAAAGACTATTTGTCTTTGTTTCTTCTATTTTTTGCATAAGCTAGAAAACATCATAATTCTAGTGTAAATGATATTATATTTACACCTTGAAGCACGCTTTCTTACCAGTATTTGATATTCCTTTAATAAACTTAAGTACAGGGTGAAACAGGAATTACTAGCCAATAATAGATGAACGTTAGTTGACTGTAACATGTAGATATTTAATGCTTTGTACACTATACAATCGGTGTCTTTAAGGAGCCAACCCCTATATTATGTATAAGTGAAGAATTAAAAAAAATAATAAGCATAATATTAAATTTAATTACTCACATTCGTAGTATAATTACTTCAAAAGCCATAAATGTTTATTTAAAGCGATGCTTTAGACGTATATGTTTTATTTGAAAATGCTGCTTTTCTACTCGTAAAATTTTATAAGCGCTGGGTAGGGGGTTGTGTCTTAGTCTAGACATATATCTACTCATTGCTATGCATTATATATAGAGAGATAATTTAATTAAACAGAAAGTACAAATACTCACTATATTCTAAACAAAATCTCCATAAGAATCTCCAGCTGCAGCTTAACATTTTACATCTCGAAATAATGCGATCAAATAGTCAATAGCTACAGTAAATCATCATGAACCGTATCAGCTAGCTACTAGGTATGTTCATTATCATTATAATGCATATAGTTAGCTACCGTATCAAGCAAACCTTTGCCTATACTTGAGCACAAAAAAGCCAGCAAACAAGATTTTAAAAAATTGAAAATTTAAAAACCTGCAAATAAAAAAAAATAAGAAAACAAGGCTGAAGATACTGTAAAGATTAATTACTCACACTGCAAACCCTTA